TAAACCACGTTGATAAATTGTATCAATTAAACCCCCACATAGCTCTTACTATTTTAAAATATTGTCTTCTTGTACCTAGATTTACATACTTACTCCGCTCGAGTCCAGTCTGGAAATATTCGGATATTTTACAAGATATTGATAATAATCTTAAAATCGCTATAGAAAAAATTCTAAATTTAACTTTAAATACAACAGCCTGGACTCAAGCTACTTTACCTATAAAATTTGGTGGCATTGGTGTGAGAAATCTTTCTAGCGTTGCATTGCCTGCTTTCCTGGCTTCCGTGCATAGTGTCAGTGACTTATGTAACATAATTTTAAATAATAAAGTAGACCTATGCTTTGCTACGGAGGCAGGGCAGACATGGCAAACGCTCTGTCCTGATGAAAATATTCCACTGGAAGTTAACCAACAAAAACAGTGGGATATTCCGTTGGTACAGGGCGTGCAGAAGGATTTGTTTCATAATTTCCATAGTGACCAAGATAAGGCACGCCTTCTAGGTGTTTCGACTAAGGAATCTAGTCACTGGTTACACGCTTTACCATCAAGTAATCTCGGCACATTACTTGATAGGGAAAGCTTGCGTATTGCCGTAGGAATCCGACTAGGAGCGGCGATTTGTCAACCCCATCAGTGCCCCTGTGGTAGCAGCGTCGACAGGTTTGAGCTCCACGGACTTTCATGTAAGAAAAGCGCTGGTAGATTTTCACGACACAGTTCTTTGAACGATGTCATCCGAAGGGCTCTTGCCTCTATAAATGTTCCCTCGGTTTTAGAGCCTTGTGGAATATTTAGAGACGATGGCAAGAGACCCGACGGTATGACATTGGTCCCTTGGGAGAGAGGTAAAGCCCTAGTGTGGGATGCTACTTGCGTAGACACTCTGGCGGCCTCTCATCTCAGGGGTACCTCGTTTAAAGCCGGGGCGGCATCAGAGGCAGCTGAACTGAGTAAGTGGCGCAAATATGAGTCTCTGAGAGATGACTACATATTTGTGCCATTTGCTGTAGAGACTATCGGTCCGTGGGGTCCACGTGCGGTGAAGTTCCTAAAGGAACTCCATCCGCGGCTGGTCGTTGCTGCTGGTGATAAGAGGGCTGGTTCTTTCCTCGCTCAAAGGATAAGTATAGCCATTCAGCGGGGAAACGCAGCCAGCGTTCTTGGCACGATACCGCGGGGAGTCGGACTATATGAAAATTAAGTTTCTAGTTTTAGTTTTTTTTTTATTATCATAGTCTTTAATATTGTAGATAAAATTTAAGTATTATGTAAAATTTTATACCCTATTTCATTTCCGCTACAAAGACTAATCGAACGACTCCTCATAATTTAAAATCCACCAAACCATTTACTCTCATACTTTCAAAAACATTACCCTTCTTTTTGGGCATTCAGGTAAAAAGTAAACGCATACTTCATAGAACTAAACAGTGTAAAATGATATCACATTCTAAGATCGGTGTAAGGACATAGTGTATAGAATAAATTTTCGAAAAAGCTTCAGGTTGTGAAATTATTTTAATTTTGTTCTTTGCAGTAGGTTTTTATTTTTATTAAATTTTTTACCTTTTTGGATGGACAAAGAAATATCACTATCTCAATGTCCCTTACTAAACAAAAGGCTATTCACTCATGCTTCGATGTCGTTACATTGAAAATGGATAGAAAGAGAGATGCTAGCAGATTATTCCAATCCTTTGCTATACGTATTGCAAATTACGAATGCAAGTGTGCCAGTAAACTATTTTAATAAATTGTAATAAAATTTACCTTTGCTTTGTATCTAATGGCACATGGAGTTAGTGGCATATCTTACCTACAAAGAGACGATTTACTAGGTGTCAGGGCTCCTCTTCGCCCTCAGGTCGGTTGAGGTAAGTAACGCCCACATAACTATTTCTGAAGGTGTCTTCCGGTCTGAAGAGCCAGTATGATTACAGCCATTCCGTATTAGCTCTTAGAGGTGACAACGCATATGTAGCTTGATTGTTTGAAGTTGAGTGCAGGTGTCCATGGGCTGCAGTAGCCACTTACCATTAGGTGTTTGGTGGTGGTTATATGTTACTTCATTTTTAGAAAGAAAAATAAAAAGACAAGCAACGTCCACCAGTGGACTGCTTGATGCAGAAAAAGTATATTATGGGCGTATCAAGAATGTGTAGGACCACGTTCTCATTGAATATCAGTGTAAAATAGCTGCTTAATTCTACTTTGTTTCGTATGGTGACTGTAGAGAACCGGAGATACTTTTCGGTGGAAACGAGGCATTCTATCTTAGACCTCAGGAGTGACAAACACCGCACCTGCATTGTGATCCCTTATCGATTATAAGTGTAGATGTCAATGGGCCACAGAATCTATTTTCTATTAGTTGTACTGTTTGTTTGTTTTCACCCTAATTCTATAAAAAGTGAAATCCAAAGATGTCTACAAATATAATTGCTAGTAAACTTAATTTACATGACCTTAAATTAAAGAGCATAAATTATGTATGCTATCAGTGTCAGAGAACGTTACGTTACGAGCGTTTGCCTGAATATTTATGAAGACCGACACCCAGTATACCACAAAAGTATAAGTATCTTTCAAAAGTGTTCCTTTTCATATATCAAGGAGTTGAATTATATACGTTCTTAATTTAAGTTAATATATTTAAGAACTTTGTTTCAATTTTGTATTGAATGAAAATTCATAACAACCCTATTAAGAACTGCTGATGATTTACCAAAGACTTTCTATAAAATGCAGCAAAAATTTTAAAAATAAAAACTCATGCAGCGGCGTCAAATAATCTACCATCCCTTGTCATATCGTGCGTGTCGTAAGAGCTAACAGGGGAAAATTGAATCATGAGATGGGCATAAGTAATTCCAAAAAAGAATGAAAATAATAAACAATCTGCGGTTGCTAACCCGCCCGTCAAGCGTGGCAATTTTCAAATATTCCCCCTATGAAGCAATTAATGTGGCATGTATATATTCATTAGTGAAATTTTGATACACTGTGACGAATAATAAATGAATGATATGTCGTAAGGACCACCAATAAAACAACATAAACATAAAAAAATTATAGCCTGCAATTCATCTGGCAATTTCTGTGCCACATATGCGTTAGCCCACTCTTCTATAAAAAAATAATCAGTTGAAACAAATGAACAAAAACAAACAACGGAAAAACCTACATACAAAACTACTTCCAATTCCTATATTTCTTTTAAAATGCTTTCAAAAATTTTACAGCAGAATAAATGAAGAATCTGTAAATGACACAAACCGTTAGTCTAGGCAAGTAACTTAAGACTATCAAGAGAAAGTTTAGTAATTCCAGGGATAAACACAAAAACGCAAAAACATCAAAGCCTGACAAACAATGAACAACAAACCCAGACTTGTTTCATACGCGAACGCATATATGAAATTTGCTCACAAAATCATTAATAAAAAGGCACGAACTAGTTATCTCTAATATCAAAAATGCTCACATGTCACTCTGTTCCGTGAAAGTGAGCATTGTGTTTGATGCAACCGCACGCGTACGTTTCACGTTGAAGTTTACTCGGACAACGTACAAACGTAACACGCTGTGTATGTAGTTACATATACAGCATCGTGTTTGAATAGACTATTTCGGCTCACTTTTCATTTTAGTTATCAGGCATTTATATTTAACCTCGTAAGGCCCAACCTAAATTTAGGTCGACATACATTACGACCCAACGTACTAAACATAGGTGCAAGTAGTTGCGGCCCAGAACTTTGGTTAAGTACAAAAGTGTGTAAATGTATTACTTTTGGTCAAATTATTTTAAGGGGTATTTCCTATACCTAAAGTTACCTATTTCACGCAAAAATATGTTGAAATAGCTTGTCCTTATTTTAGGTCACTGGGCCACTGTTTAATATATAACATTAGTTTGAATCAATCAAATCTATTCAGTTATTTATCATGGAATAGCAAATTATACCAGAAATAAAAATAAACTTTGTAAAAAAAATATTTATTATTTTCTTCCTTCATTTTAAACCTTATTAATTAATAATTTTACGTAACAAAATTACAAAATTTTCTAAATCAGTCTCATTTTTAGCAAACAATGTATCTTCGCATTATACATGTTAATCATATTACTAAAATAATGTTCTTACTTACTATAATCAATGGCAATATTTCAAATAATAATATTTAAGTGGTCGTATCACACACAATACTAATTAGAAATATAGATACTTAAAAAAGAAAATTTTAAACAAATGTATCAATCACTAAATCTCAGTGTGGAAGTTATAAAAACAATTTCGTTCTTCAGTTAGGCACAAGTGAATGTTGCACTTTTTGCATATAATTGTGCTTTTCTTGTTGCATCCTGGTCTTCTGCACCTGTTTTGAACTTCTCCGGCCAACGGCAAATGGAGTGCACCATGAGTTCTTGAACTGGCGCAGGGAAGCGGTACAGCTGGTCTAAAGCGTTTAGGTCGAGACTGTTCCTAGTCTTCTGTTTCGGAACTAGTGGTGAAATTAGCAGTTACTAAAGTTTCGGCTATTTCCATTTTAAAACTCCTTAGATGCTGAATTTTTTTCACCGGGACATTTTTGCATAAATCTTTTGCTTTATAATTTAACCATGAATTAGTTGTAGCCAAATCAAACATGTGTGCGATAAATCGCGTTGTCCATTTTCTTGTTCGATATCTCGACGGCGCCACAGCAAAGAGACGATCAGCAAGATACTCCTCCCATATTAGAATTATATTGTTTTACTACTTCCGGTCTTGGTACAGTGACATACACTTTATTCTGTTTACACCATCTTTGGCAGGTGTCGGAAGTTTGGGCAGCATGCATAGTAGAGGGGAAAGTGACAGGTTTGTTATCAAACCATTTAGTTATAGCTATATTCTTCTCATCGTTGACCAATACCTGACAACTACCTCTCCCTGCTTTTTTTTAGTCTTTGTCCTCTTTGAGTATTAATCTTGCGGACTTAGGTACTCTATTCTTCATCAATGTACCAGCGCACATCAGGCCTCTGTTTTTTTAATTCCACAATCAGTGTCTCGGTGGTAAAGTACCTATCACAGTAAATTATATGTCCCGGCAACAAATCCTCCCTTAAGGCAAGAACTGCCTTCTCTCCCAACCCGAATGATGTATCAGCATAAAAAGGATATGTAGTCGCCCCTTGATATATATCAAAAACACACACTTCTTCGGTGGGATTCGCCAATACAAAAGTTTTTAAACCTGTAGGATTAAGTTTACCTGGGCTATATTGCTTCATCCCACAGGCGCCTGTAAAAGGAATTATCATTTCGTTAATTGACAGTTTTTGATCCTTTGGTATGGAATGACAACCCTTATGAATTTCTTTGATAAGAGGGTGAACTTTCCAAAGCTTGTCTTTACTTTTATCTTCGGCAGAAAAGTCGTTGTCATTAACGAGTTTTAAAGAATTCCAAAGAATGAAAAATCTGTTCCGAGACATATGATCAGCTACAAAAGCGACACGAAATTTGTGTTGCCAGTACATTCGGAGAATTGGATATCCAATACAAGACATGGCTAAATTAATTGCAATAAAAATGTAGCACTCGGGAAGTGTTAAATTTAAAAACTGGCCGTTTCTTAATAGATACATCTCATTGGATCTATCTACGATAATTTGCATCAGCTCATCATTTACGTGTCGACGAAAATAATCAATTTTACAGAATTCTTCGTCATTAAAAGGTAAATACAATGGCTGCATAAAAGGAATTATATCAGGATTAAAATCTTTTTCTTTCCAACCTCCAAATTGTCCATCGTCATTGCCAATATCCTCGTTATCTTCAGCTTCCATTTACTGGTACAATCTCCCACGAGATGAAGTTGCTCTTCTACTACTTGCTCGAGAAATCGAAGAAATTCTTCGACCACGACGGCCACCTCGACGCTGTAAGCTCCTCCCTCGCGTAACAGAAGAATTAGAAATCGCAGGACTTGAAACTGTGAGCTCACCTTCAGAATCAGAAGACGATTCTGCTGAATTGTCCGATTGACGATTTCAGCCCTGAGGTCGATAATCCACATCATCGATATCATCATCGCCGTCATCATCTTCGAACTCGGATACGTCCAGATTAAGCTGATTTTCTATAGCTTCGTCGTCCATGGCTTAAACAAAAGAAAATAAAGTAAACATTTAATGTCCTAAAATCATGACATAGAAATTAGGCTAACTTTTACAATAAAAACCCACCGATCTTATTTTGGGACATAGTTTTTATCGTTCGAATATTACGGAATTAAAATGACTTTGCTACGAAAAAACATGTAGGAACAAAATATAATATATCCGCAACTGTTTGCAATACATTTTAGACATCACCATGTTATGATTATAAAGAATAGATTTACTTACCAATCTCCACGAGACTTCCGTTCACATGAGATGAAATGTCAAAAAGACAGATTCTTGGTTCGTAAATGTCAAGTTGACATTGCCAAAATTAGAGATGCGTTCATAGTTAATAGTTTTTGATGGCAGATTTTAAATGGCGGGATTATTTAAACCAAAAATTACGTTCAAATATCATGTCATAATTTTAGGTCGCCGGGCCGCAATTTGACGATTTTAAAAGCTGTGTTGGGCCGGAATGCCAAAATATTTTTGTCATTAAATTAGGTCATTGGGCCTTACGAGGTTAATATCGTTTCTTTGGCCGTTACCGTTACAGGATAGAGCCCTCTTTTTTATATATAATATCATTGGTTACAGCCTATTAAATTCCACTGTTCATCATAGGCCTCCCCTATCGATTGCCTCATATATTTTTTTTGCAATAGTTGCCACGCTTGGCAGGCGGGTTGGCAACCGCATTTTTTTATTTTTAGTCGAAGACGCTGCTGCCCATCTTCTGATTAGTTTACCTCTGTCACCTTATACGACACCCGTGGGATGATATGGGTTAGTGGATATTCTTAAACCGCCACTACACGCTAAGGTTTTTATTTAATTCCAAATTATCGTATCCCATTATTGTCACAGTAGTCAATAAAAACGTACTTTTAATAAAAACACTATTTAATGAAACATCGGAAACCGCTTTTTCGATGTTTGATGAAACATAATTTTATTTAATACCAAAACACTCAAATATCACTCTGAAAGAGTAAATATTTCAAAGAGTTTTGCTTGCATCTAAACTCTTAATCAATATTTGAGCAACTACGTTATTTACATTAACATACACGAATATTATTCATCGTATGTAAAAGTCAATTCTCGTACTCGTGTATTATAACGAAAAATTACTAATACTCGTGTATTATAAAAAAATTCATGAACGGAAAGCGAATATTTCAAATTTATTGTTCCTAACGTGAAGAAAATATTACTCTAAGTATAATTTATATTTCAATTAGTAAACAAATAATAATATAAGTTTACTACAACGTATTTTTCATATATGTATAATATATAACAGTCTTTAAACTATCCAACGCTGAACGTAGCTCTCTCATATTCTTCTTCACCGGCCTGTGAAACATAACGTAACTTATCTTTCCACTATCTACCATAGGAGAACTACGTGCTACTAGCAACTAGATGCTTGGAAGGTCTCCATCACTTTTTTATTAAGGTACCATATATACAAACCAAACGGTTTGGTTCGTCTTTAGTAATTTGCACAGCAAAGGAGTGAAATAATTTATCAGCCTCTTTCTTAACTTCCGGTTACAATGTGGTTCTTCTAGACAAGAATTACTAAGTGCGCTTTACCATCTTTGGCTACATTAATATCATCAGATAGGTACTACTGAAGAACTGCTTATAATAAATAAAAAAATAAGAATAATTCGCCATCATATTTCTTATCTTTAGATTCCAATGTACGTATTCAAGGTAAGGATTATGTGCGTTTTACCATTTTCGGCTACTCAGAAACTTACCATTAGGTGTAGTGAAGCTTAAAAAAAATTAAAAAAAAAATTTACTACGCTGACGCTCTTTACTTGGGCTGCACTTTAATCCACAATTCACGGGAAACGTCTGCCTTCTAATGTATTAGAGGCGGTTGCTAAATATTTATGTGTGCTTCCCAATCTTGTAATGAATTACAGTTTTATAGAATAACTGTGACTCGGAAACATATACGATGTCCGGGGTTTACTCTAGTTTCTTGGAAGATTTTTTACATTACTTAGACTCCCATTATTTTATTTGACACTTTTCAGTAACAATGTCGACATTATCATACACGCGACAAACTGCCATAAGACGTGACAATTACAATAATTAATAGAATCAGCTATTACTTTGCGGAAGTCCATGGTATAAAAGGTGTTAATAATTAATAGGCTAAGATCGGCCTTAACAATAAACATGATGTGTCTTTCCTGGCTCCCAACCCCCTCTCAGTTGCGTGTACAATCCCAGTCACCACTAACCCCAGCACCACAGTACAAGGAAAGACATCCATAATTTCCACGTGTTTCTCCTTTTTTTTCAGAAATTCTAGTAGCGGCTTACCATCGTGCTGTTTTATCTGTAAAGTGTTACAAAAATAAATGAAAGAATTAAAATTGTGACAAAAAAACTAATCATATATTCACCAGATTTATTTAATACTATTAGTTGCGCAGGGTTCAATTGGAGCCCAAGTTCCTCTATACAGCACATGTGCTCATTGCTGCAGCTAGCGGAACACGACGAAGGTAGGGTCGAAATAAGACGCAAAAAAATTAAAGGTTAAGTACTACCCTGTTTGGGTTGATACGACTTTGTTAAACATTTAAGAATAACATCTGTTACTCATGTTATACTCTATAATGTTCTTCAGACCAACTTTGGTTAGGGCGTCCAGTTTCAAAGGAGACATACCATCTGCACAGAACAAAATCATAGTGCATGAGAATGTACTGCATGTATGCAGTTGCACTTTCTTTTCCTTCGCTCTCATAGTATCGCGATGGGATAGCACTCCGACATGAACGGAGAAGGATCAGGCCCATGACTAGTTTAACCTTTTTCTGTCAACTTTTGTGTTAGGCAGGTTAATTTATAATGGCCAAACGCACGAAAAAAGTTGGGATTACCGGAAAATATGGTACACGATATAGAGCCTCGTTGCGTAAAATGGTCAAAAAAATGGAAGTGACACAGCATGCAAAATACACTTGCTCTTTCTGTGGAAAGGATGCCATGAAGCGCCCTTGTGTTGGTATCTGGTCCTGCAAACGTTGCAAGAGGACAGTGGCTGGAGGTGCCTGGGTTTTCTCTACCACAGCAGCCTCATCTTGTAGGTCAGCAGTGAGGAGGTTACGTGAAGTCAAGTAAACACATAGACTAAGTTAATAATAATAAACAAACGTGCTATCCTGGTATATGAAACATCGCCTTCTTTTCTACAACGGGCTGTTACTGAGAACTTTTTAAAAGAAAAACACAATAACTGATTTTCCGATAATCACCATTCTTTTCAATTAGTGAATATGGTCATCAGTAATGATTACAACTACTAGACTAACGACAGTGTGAACTCGCAAAAACTCGTCACTTTCTTAATTCATCTTCCTTATTCGGATTAATTTCAGAAATAAGCAGGTATTTTAGTGTGATTCTCAAACATACACAAAAAGATTCATTAAATTCGGTTTAGTTGTTTAGTAGGAGTCCAGTGACAAACACACGTATGTAAGGATTATATAAATGAAGGTAATCTAAAGTCAGTAGTAGACTATTTTTTAAAAGCTAATTACAAAGAAATGCTATTTCATCTACACTACTATTATAAAGAGGAAAGATTTGTTTGTTTGTTTGTTTGTTTGAATTGAATAGGCTCCGAAACTACTGGACCGATTTGAAAAATTCTTTCACCATTAGAATCCTACATTACCCTGATGAACATAGGCTATGTAATATTTTCAAAAAAGTTAGGGATCCGTGTGAAAACTTCGTTAATGTAAACCAAGGTGTGAAAAAAATACCAAAAAGAATCCTTATATCGCGTGCGCTTCGGAAACTATTGATAATAGAGCAAAGTATTGTACTTCACTTTTATAGAAGATATTAATTTCTACAAAAAAGTCTGCGATACCATATGTTTAACTATTACAGTTATGTCATAATAACTACTTTTTCATGTTAAAATGTGAAATAGTAACGCCGGTACAAATACTACTAATACGAGTACGTACTGATACGAATAATGTGGCCTAGACCTTATTCGTATCAGTACCTGTATCATGCATAACCACCAATTACGTTAACTATGTAATTTTAGTAACATATTTCACTTTTTAAATCTTTGTTAATTCAGCAACCGTCCGTCGTGATGTCTCTCTCGAAGTTCGCATTTCATAAGGCGCAGATGCGTGATATACGCGGGTGAAACCGCGGGGCACATCTAGTTTTTTATAACTTATCGCGATATCCGATTCAGTTGAACCAAACGAAACATTAAATGAACTGAAAACGATATGTGACAGCGGGTTGGTTATGGTAATGACAGGTGGAGCGCTTAGCAAATCGGCCGATAAGCCTTGAAAAAATAGGTCAGCGTAAGCACTTAAAGATGAAAAACTCATAAAAATATTTGAGATATTTTTTATAATAATATGAGTATGTATATTTGTTTATTTATTTATTTGTCTAGCTATACTTCATAATTCATAATTCATAATCTTTATTGCAATCAAATGGTAACAATAGATGTGTTTTTAAAAAATAGTCCGCATTTGAAACCCGGTTTGGGCGTAGCAATTATAAAATATTAAATTATATTATTAGATAACATCAATAAATTAATTAAATTAACAATCACATTGTCATGTCAAAGAAAGAACAATGATAATAAT